TGAGTGGGTGTAGATGGAGACGCTCCTCTCTGCTGTGCCTCAGTCTTCGGAGCCACAGAGGGGTCTTCCCAAGCCCCACACCTGGAGGGCAGGGAGGCCAGGGGTGCCAGGGGCTTGTGGCCCCAACCTGCCTCCTAACATACAGGGGCCAGCGGGCCCGGGGCCACCTCTGTGGGCAGGAGAAGGCCTCATTGTTCCCTCTCCTGGCAGAGTGAGGACTGGGGCATGCCTGGGGCAGGAAATAAATGCTCAGTAAATCCCCCTCCTGGGGAGCCCTGATCCCGAGGGACAAAGGGCCTGTGTTGAGTCTCCCTGAGGACGGGCTCAGGGCCAGCACTTGGGCCAGGGCAGATGGAGGGGGCAGGGGGAGTGGGGGTGGTGCCTCCCACCAGGTGGACACGCAGGTGAGGAGGAGTGTCCTCATATGTGCACACCCCCCCGAGTGCAGGAGAGGCTGGGCAGGGGCGTGTGTCTGGGGCATGTGTGTGCTTGCATCTCCAGTTGCACGTGTGTGACTCCCATGCTCGCGCCATCTGAACAGCCCTCTAGTGGGCATTTGGGTGAGTGCCAGCACCCCTCTGGCCAGGCTCTTCCTCCAAGTCCCCCCAACCCCAGCTGCTGCTTCTGGAGTCCTGGCTCAGACGACTCACCTTCTGGGTGCCAAACCCTGCCGGCCTGGAGTTAGAAACAAGGCCCCTGAACTGCCAGCAAACTTGGGAAGGCGCCCTCGGGCTAGGCTGGGTCGAGAACACAACCCACTTTGTGCCGCCTCCAAGCTCCTGCCTCTGAGAGCTGTGCTGGCCAAGGACTTGGCCTCTTCCTCCTCTACCTCCCTGGAGGAGGCTCCTCCTGAGCGGGGCTCCGCTGACCCTTCCCGGGCCTGGCCCCTGCTGACCCCAAGTCAGAGGAGCCTTGGGGGGTGCAGAAGGGTGGCAGCAGAGGTGCAATTGGGGCCTCACCTTGACATACCAGTCACTGGGAGCCCAGCCCTGTCCAGCCCCTCCAGGGAGACGGAACCAGACAGATCCCCAACCAGGATCATCTGGGAACAAGGCGAGGAGGTAAGCAAGGGGATGGCAGGAGCCCACCAGCACTTGGAACACCTGCAGCCCTCACCGCCAGCGACCTCTGTCCTCAAGGGCATTAAGCCAGGCGAGGGGGCAGCCTGAGCGGCACAGCTGGGCTCCCACAGAGAACCCCACAGCCAGCACTTTCCTATGGTCATGTTACTACCACACTGTGCCATCGCCGAATTGGAACTGGGGCCACAGCATGTCTTGCCCTGGAATTGAGTAGCCACAGCTGCCCTTCAACCCTGAGACAAAGCCACCACCCAACCTCTCAGCCTGGTGGCTTCACACCTCTGAACTGAGCTGTGAGCAGCAGTCACACCCTTGCCCCTGGGGCCAAGTGGAGATGGACGTGCTCTGGGTAACCCTCTCCCTTTTCCGAGCCAGAGTTGAAGTCACAACCTGCCTCCTTGGCTGCTCAGAGGTGAAGTTGGAGAAGATGCTGCATTCCAGGAAACGGTGTCTGGCCACCCAGAATAGTCACATCCCCCAGTCCTAAGCGAAAGCAGCCTTTTTTCCCCAGGAGTTCAGTGCCCTGGCTGAGCTGAGTCGCTGTGGACCCCGGGGAAACAGGGCAGTGGCTGAGCTGAAACACCGCCCTGTGGGCCAGCTCTGGCACCTTGCCTCCCTGGAGCCGGATCAGCCTCCTAGAGACGGAGCTTCAGAGACAGCCCTCTCCCTGGAAAGTGGGTCTCCCTGGGCTGCTCCCTGCCTTCCTCTGCAATGTGCTGTTCCCAGCTGCCCCGCTCCCCCACAGGGCCCAAGTGACAGCTGTCCTCTGCCATTCTGCCAGTGTATCTGACCTCATGAAGTCTGGGGTACTGCCAAGCCCCACCATCTCGGGGTCTAGAGTCACTACTGCATGGAGCCTCAGCCCCCAAACCCTGAGTTACGCTGAGCCCTGTTGGCTCAAGACCCGGAATTGCAGCCGTATCCTCATCCCCAGGTTTCAACCTGAAGCACCACATCTTCCCCACAGTTGGGCTGTTGCTCTGCTCTGTCCCCCAGGGGAGAATCACAGCTACAACCCAGTCCCCTGGGCCCGACCTGCTAGAGGGTGCCTCAGAATTACAGATCCTGTGGGAGTCGAGGGCTGGGGGAGGGATGGCATTAGGAGAAATACCTAATGTAGACGATGGGGTGATAAATGCAGCAAACCACCATGGCACGTGTATAACTGCAACAAACCTGCACGTTCTGCACACGTATCCCCAGAAATTAAAGTATGATTTAAAAAAATTACATATCCTGGCTCTGTGGGCGATGCACATTCAACCTGCCACAGAGAATAAACCTGCACCCAATGACCCAGGCCTGGCCTTGCTTTGTATGCCAGGCCCTGGGCCTAGGACCCCAGCCCCACAGCTGGGTGGCACCCACAAAGCCAGCGCCACTGCACCTTCTTGTAGGCCACATCAGACTTGACACCGAAAGGTCCCCTTTGGCTGCATATCCCCATTGTGGGGAAAATAAGAATAGGAGGATCCCAAAACCTCTTGACATCAAGGACATTAACAACCACGGCCACAAATCTCTATAGCCTGGGCCTTGAGGCCCCCAGTTATTGCTGATGCTCAACTACTGAGAGCCAGCTTGGCTATAGAGACCCCACCCAGATGGCGCTGAAGGAACTGAGAGGCAGACACTCAAAACAGCAAAGTGGGACTATCCAAGCGCCAGTAACCTTCCGAGCTGAGAGCCTCACGCACTGACGGCATTCTGGTCTGAGAGCCTCGAGCAGACAGGGACCCACGCGTTTGGTCTCTCTGAACAGGTGATGATTGTTAACAAACAGCTGTTTGGTATTTGCTCATAACACAAAATATGCCGAGGAGGCAGCTGGTGCCCATTTACCACTGATCACAGACAAACTAAAAAGTATTCTCCACGAGGGAGCCACGGGGGCAGGGTCACATGTTCCGAGCTTACATAATTGTTTTAACCAGTATATGATATTTATATATTGTCCTATCACTTTAGAATGCCCCAAGTAGTTTTTTACTTGGCTGGGGGGTGGTTAGATTTTCCTTGCCATCGTTCTTCCTAGCAAATAATATATTCTATCATACGCTCAGCATTTCTCAGCAATCATTCAATCAGCATTTCTCAATATTCATAAACTTAACATTTCTCAACAACTTAACATTTCTCAACACTTAACACAGCTGAAGAGCTGCACGGAGACCATATCACTGCACCGATCGGGAAACACAGCTGCCCCACCCTTTCCAACCAGCACACTAAGATGCAACTGCAGGTGAAAGTCTACCTCTATGAAAGCCACTCTAGAAACTTTGGAAGAGGCGATTGTTCCACCAGATGTACAGACATCAGTGCAAAGACACCAGAAACATGAAGCAGCAAGAAAATCTGATACCACTAAAGGAACGTAAGTGTGTAGTAACAGATGCCAATGGAAGAGGAAATAAGTGAATTGCCAGAAATAAATTCAAAATAATGATCTTAAGAAAACTAAATGAGGCTGGGCACAGTGGCTCCTGCCTGTAATCCCAGCACTTTGGGAAGCTGAGGCGGGCGGATCACCTGAGGTCTGGAGTTCGAGACCAGCCTGACCAACATGGAGAAACCCTGTCTTTACTACAAATACAGAATTAGCCTCGTGTGGTGGCACATGCCTGTAATCCCAGCTACTTGGGAGGCCGACGCAGGAGAATTGCTTGAACCCGGGAGGTGGAGGTTGCAGTGAGCCGAGATCGTGCCACCCAGCCTGGGCAACAAGAGTGAAACTCCGTCTCAAAAAAAGGACCTCCCTCAACATGTGGGGTCGGGGGGCAAGAGAGAAACACTCACTCCTGGTGTCCTTGGCCTCAATGGGCCAATGCTGAAGCCCCCACAGGATTGTGGCTCAATGTCTCCTAGTTTGAGCAAATTCATTGGCATTTGTGCCTTCCCTGCCTTGGTTTCTGGCATGTGTGTGATTGGGAACCCTGGGATGGGGGCAGTGGGAGCATTTCCTCCATGGCACCCCCAAGCCACGTCTTCCCACCTCTCTGACACACTGAACTACTACTGCTCTTCCATCAGTTATCTTTCTGATTGAAATAACCAGAGGGTCCTGCTGTTTGCAACAAAAACCTGGAAAACAATTTAGGTCTTCAGGTAGGGTCTTTGCCTGGACCGGACATGAGTGAAGAGGAGGGAGTCATCCAAGAAGCCCCTCAGGTCCACAGAAAGCTCTGCAAAGCATCAGCTTTAACATGCACATGTATTTATTAGCAAATGGGACAAAAGGGGCTGGAATCTGATCCTAACCCTGTCCTTGAAGTGCCACAGCCCGGGGGAAGTGAGCCAATACTGTGGTCTCCACTGTAGCCTCACAGTCTCTTGTGCACTCAAAATGGCTGCAGGAGACAGGGAGCCCAGAGCAGAGCAAGGAGCAGCAGCAGCTGGGAGGGGCTTGGCCTGGGCGTACTGTGGGACATCACCCTCCGGATCCAGTGGAAGTACACACTGATGTTTGTGTAGACACCCGGCCGATTGGGTTGACCACAGTCCATTCCCCAGCTCACGATTCCAACCTGATACCACAGTCCATCCTTGTCACAGACCAAGGGTCCACCTGAGTCACCCTGGGGAGCAGCATGGGTGAGCCCAGCCTGGGGCAGAGTGGAAGGGGCAGCAGAGAGGCCATGAGAGCAGAAGGGTCTGTGGGGCTGCGCAGACTGAATGCAAATCTTACTCCTTCCCATGGAATCAACCAACTCTTAGTTTCTGTACCTTCAAAGTGGGGCAATAGCCTCCATGGGTTGACGAGTTAATCAGTCAGAATTTATGAAAAATGAGAAGCATGTTTTGTAGGCTCAGTAACTAAGGCTGCACTGGTTTTCCCATAAGAAATCCAAACAATGGGTTGGGAGTGGTTGTGGGGGAGGAGATGGTGGGATTCCCTGGTGGGGTAGAGGCACTTACTTTGCAGGTGTCTACACTGCCATCTTCAGCACCAGCACAAAACATGGAATCCTGGATCATACCACGGCTAGAGGGCTGTTCAAACAGGTAATTACACCTGGTGTTGTTTAAGATGGTGACTTGTGCTTCCCGGAGTTTGTAGGGAGGTGGCAGACGTGCTGGAGATAGGACAGAAAAGACAGCACCCTTTACCTCTCTTCTGCCATCTGGGGCAGGGAGAGGAGAAAGAGCATGTGTTATAGTGGTGGTGAGGGGTCCCTGACACACCCACAGTGCCTGGCATTGCTCTTGACTCCCCAGCACCTAATACATCAAGAGCAATCAACAATATCACAGAATAACCCAACAGATGGCCAGGTTGTTGCAGACCTTCCTGAAAGTCAGTTTCTCTATCTGTAGAATGGGGATGATAGCCCCTGCCTGAGTCAGTGGAGAGGTTTCTCAGCCAAAGCATGGCAGGAGGAAGGGTTACCATATTGGTCAGGCTGGTCTTCAATTCCTGACCTCAGACGATTCACCCGCCTCGGCCTCCCAAAGTGCTGGGATTACAAACTCAAGGTCCAACCTGTTTTTTTTTTTTTTGAGATGGCGTTTCGCTCTTCTTACCCAGGCTAGAGTGCAATGGCGCGATCTCGGCTCACCGCAACCTCCGCCTCCTGGGTTCAGGCAATTCTCCTGCCTCAGCCTCCTGAGTAGCTGGGACTACAGGCACGCGTCACCATGCCCAGCTAATTTTTCGTATTTTTAGTAGAGTCGGGGTTTCACCATGTTGACCAGGATGGTCTCGATCTCTTGACCTCGTGATCCACCCGCCTCGGCCTCCCAAAGTGCTGGGATTACAGGCGTGAGCCACTGTGCCCAGCCCCAAACTGTTTTTTTGTTTTTTTTTTTTATCTTTTATATTTTTACTGTGCCTCTTCTATGTATAGATATGTTTGAGTACATAAATGCTTACCAGTGTGTTACAAGTGCTTCTGGTATTCAGTGCAGTCACAATCTGTACAGGCGTGTAGCCCAGGAGCAATGGGCTGCACCACAGACTCTGTGGAGTGAACTGTGCCATCTGGGCTTGTGTAACTATACTCTGATGTTGACAGGATGATGAAAATGTCTCATGATGTGTGTCTCAGAATATATCCCAGTTGTTAAGTGACACAGGACTGTAGGCTAAAAATCACTGAATCGTGTACTTTAACACCGAACACTTGAAAATGTTATGGGGCAGCTGGGCGCGGTGGCTCACGCCTGTAATCCCAGCACTTTGGGAGGCCGAGGCGGGTGGATCGTGAGGTCAAGAGATCGAGACCATCCTGGTCAACATGGTGAAACCCCGTCTCTACTAAAAATACAAAAAAAAAATTAGCTGGGCATGGTGGCACGTGCCTGTAATCCCAGCTACTCAGGAGGCTGAGGCAGGAGAATTGCCTGAACCCAGGAGGCGGAGGTTGCGGTGAGCCGAGATCGCGCCATTGCACTCCAGCCTGGGTAACAAGAGCGAAACTCCGTCTCAAAAAAAAAAAGAAAATGTTATGGTTTGTGAGTTGTCTCCAATTTTAAAAATCATTGCCTGAAGCTTGTGTCACCAGGGCCTCCCTCACTCCCCCTCACTCCTGCAGGCCCTGGGCCAAGCTGGCCTACCTCTCACACTGTCCTCCTGTCCCCCGAAGTCCCTGGAAGGGGGAGAACTGAGTGTTTGGTTCCTGAGCTGACAGGTGGCAGTGAGAGCAGAGAAGCAAGTGAGGAGAGAATGCAAGCTGGAGAGGCTCGGGCCGCACCCCCAGGCCAAGGAGGAAGGGTGCTGTGTTTGTGTGGCGGGAGCAGGGTAGAGGGTAATGCCCACCCCGCACCCCCATGCCCCCACCGGTCTACCCCCAGCCTCACTACCGTTGGAGCCGATGAAGCCCCAGCCGGTCACCCAGCAGTCTCGCCGGTGCAGGAAGATGAAAGTGGACGGCTCGACGCAAATGGGCTGGACGTGCGCATTGTAGGCGACAGAGGAGGCCAGTCTCAGCAGGGCGATGTCATTGTGTATAACTCCAAAGGAGGCAGGGTTCACAATGATGTTCTGCACTTTGTAACGATTTCTGTGAGTCCGCAGGTTCCAGAAAGGTGGCCTGGAAGTCAGCTCGCCCAACTGGACCGTCCACCCGGAGGGATAATAGTGCCTGGCAGAAAAGAAGAGAGGGTCGGGAGCCCTGGAAATGAGGCGGGGGGTAGGGGCGCCTGAGCACGCTGGAGGCCCAGTCCCTGAGGCGACGCTGCCGGGTGGCTACTGCTTGCTCAGCCTGGACGCCAGTAGCAAGTCCGCGGCCCCGCCCCGTTCCCCCACCCAGACTCACTTTCGGAAGCAGTGCGCAGCCGAGAGCACCCAGCGACGGCTGAGCAGGCTCCCTCCACATCGGTGGCGTCTCCGCAGGCGCAGGCTGGCCTGCCATGGCCAGCGCCCGCGCGCGGATTCCACTCCACCCGCTACCAGCGAGTGTATTTCTCGGTGGCCGCAGGGCTCTGGGATGGACAGATAGACGCGGCTGAGCTGCAGGGGGCAGGCCCGCCCCCGCACTGTCTCACCCCCAGGGTGGACGCAGGGAGGGGCACCCCGGGGAACTACACGCCAAGCAGGTGACGCCGGGGACCCTCCCACGTAGTGGGAAGCTGCCGGTCCCACCCCCAGGGCCCACAGGTTACTTGAGAGCATTACGTTCTTGGGACCTGGAACAGAGATGGGTCCCATGCACCCCAGCCCAGCGGCCCTGGCAGGCATCGCGCATCCTGGCGCCCTACCTGACAACAGCTTCGCCTGCTGCGACTCTGCAGGGTACAAGAAGTGAGCGCCTCGCGGCCTCCACCTCCCGTCCTCCCCACCGCCCCCAGTCCTGCAGGCAGCGCCCCCAGCTCACCCGGCTTCCCGAGTCCCCTCAACGCCAGCAGCAGCGCCAGCAGTAACGCCCCGCGCGCGCCCATGGCCTCCTCTCCCGCTGCCTGGCGCCCCCTCTGCCTCCTCCCGCGCTGGGCCCGGGGCGCCCCCTGGGGGCGGGGTGGGAGCTCTGCTCCTCCACCTAGCTTCACCGGCCCTGGGCCCAAGGGCTGTTGAGGACCCTCATGACTGGCAGCGCCCTGGCTTTCAGCTCCTTGGGGCGGGTCCTCAACCACACCCCTTGATGTGGCCCAGACCCGGTGGACCGCACAGTCCTTTTCTTGCCTGTAGCCTGTGGGGTCCTGGCTGCCCGCTTGGTGCCCCCCGTCTTCCACCCATGACCTCCTCCAGCACCAAGGGCCTGGCCCCGAGACGGGAGCCCGCTTAAAGCAGGCAGGTAAGGCCTTCCTGAGGGCTGTGTGGGGCCTGGCAGCGTGGAAGTGCCCGTCCTGTACAGACCCACAGAATGTCACAGCCCAGGGGCTCTCAGCCCCACTTCCTGCCCCCTGCCCTGCCGGGGGCCCCACACGCTTCCTGCCTTGTGGGAGATGTTTCAGTGAGCCAACGTAACCTCTGAGTCCAGGTCCACACCACCTGCAGAGCTCCCACTACTCAGGAAAACCGTCACACTCTTGGTTAGGGTTTAGGGAGTGAAAGGACTCAGGTTAGAGTCGGCAAACGAAAAGGCGCACAGGGCAGAGTGCAGGAGAGACCAGGAGGAAGACCATGGTGAGCGCTCCAGGGGAGGCCTGTGCACACCCATCATTCTCCCAGCATGGAAGTGTGACAACCAGGGACACTGGCCTAAGCCTTGGCGGCAGGGTTTTACTGGAGGTTGGCGGTGTTGGCCTGGAGCAGCTGCATGGCTGACGTTAGTCAGTCAGCCTCAAGCTCCTCCAGAGGTCCCGTGATACTGCACAGCCTGTGGCCCCACCTTCAGTCATGTTGTGTGCACCAGCTATCGGCCGGGGCCCAGGGGTCCAGGTATGCGGAGGCATTCTTATCAGGCAAGACATTCAAGATCTTAGAGTTTCCCTTAGAGGTCTGGATATGTAGCATCTGAACACCCCAAGCCTATTGAGTGTCTGCTGTAAGGCTACCCCGTGGCCCTCACAGCAAAAGGATAGTATTTTTCCATGCATCCATGACTCGGAATGCAAATAATAGCATGGGTGGGCCGGGCGAAGTGGCTGACAACTGTAATCTCTGTACTTTGGGAGGCTGAGTAGGTGGATTACCAGAGGTCAGGAGTTTAAGACCAGCCTGGCCAACATAGTGAAACCTTGTCTCTACTAAAAATACAAAAATTAGCCAGATGTGGTGGCAGGCACCTGTAATCCCAGCTACTTGGGAGGCTTAGGCAGGAGAATCGCTTGAACCCAGGAGGCAGAGGCTGCTGTGAGCTAAGACCACACCACTGCACTCCAGCCTGGGCGACAAGAGCAACACTTGGTCTCAGAATAATGACGATAATAATAATAGCATGGCCCATCAGGAAAGGACCTGAGTCCTTGACCCCAGCTCCCTAGAGACTTCAATGCATTGGCTGTGTGCTTAGTCTGGTGCAGGGAGGGCAGCTTCTACCCCACAAGCCCTGCGATGTAAAGCCTCGTAATTACCTATAGCTGGGCCTGCAAAATCACACATTGGTTGTCAGTATGAATATGCCTCTCATGTGGAGCAGCCAGTGTGGGGTGGAGAGAGATTTAAATAACTACTTTTCACTCTAAAGCATTATATACAGCGTTATATAATTGTACTAGTTTCATGACCTGCATCCTCCATTGTCTACAGCTATTTATATCTCTCTCTCTTTTTTTTTTTTTGAGATGGAGTGTCTCTCTGTCGCCCAGGCTGGAGTGCAATGGCGTGGTCTTGGCTTGCTGCAATCTCCACCTCCCAGGTTCAAGCGATTATCCTGCCTCCCCAGTAGCTGGGATTACAGGCGCTGGCCACCTTGCTTGGCTGATTTTTGTGTTTTTAGTAGAGATGGTGTTTCACCTTGTTGATCAGGCTGGTCTCAAACTCCTGACCTTGCATCTGCCTGCCTTGACGTCCCAAAGTGCTGAGATTACAGGCGTAAGCCATCAGGCCCGAACAGCTATTTATACCTTATGATTAGCTTGTACAGAAATATTTAGGGTCCATATTGCCTATGGTTGACTACCCAGTTCTCAGGCTGTTCATTTTCCATCAGTATCACATCCTAAGGGGGCTTTCACCCTGCCACTCAGTACATTTGGCCATCAATATCACTATTATCACATGACACAGTTGTACGAGGTAGTTGAATTTTTCCCAGCAATGCCAGTGTTACATTATATTGCAATATGGTCCTGGTACAATTCAGTTTCATCATAGAACAAATCACTGAGATTATAGCGATATCTGCTAAACCTTCTCAACAGATCTGATGACCTGAAGAAATCTCTCAGTGTCTTTACTTCCTCTTTAACTTAACAAATTCTTTTTTTGACATGGAGTTTCACTCTTGTTGCCCAGGCTGGAGTGCAATGGTGCAATCCTGCCTCACTGCAACCTCTGGTTCAAGCGATTCTCCGCCTCAGCCTCCCAAGCAGCTGGGATTAAAGGCACCTGCTACCACGTCCAGCTAATTTTCTTATTTTAGTAGGGTTTCGCCATGTTGGCTAGGCTGGTCTCGATCTCCTGATCTCAAGTGATCCACCTTGCCTTGACCTCCCAGAGTGCTGGGATTACAGGCCTGTATTTAGTTTTATAAGCTCCCTGGTCGTTTGTTTGTTTTTTTTTTTGTACCCCAAATCAAATCCTAAATTAGGCCTCTGACTTAGACTTACTGCTGAAGGCTTATAAAAGCTATAAAAATTAGGGCCGGGCGCGGTGGCTCAAGCCTGTAATCCCAGCACTTTGGGAGGCCGAGGCGGGTGGCTCATGAGGTCAAGAGATCGAGACCATCCTGGTCAACATGGTGAAACCCCGTCTCTACTAAAACTACAAAAAATTAGCTGGGCATGGTGGCGCGTGCCTGTAATTCCAGCTACTCAGGAGGCTGAGGCAGAATTGCCTGAACCCAGGAGGCGGAGGTTGCGGTGAGCCGAGATTGCGCTATTGCACTCCAGCCTGGGTAACAAGAGCGAAATTCTGTCTCAAAAAAAAAAAAAAAAAAAAAAGCTATAAAATTTAATTACCATAAGATTATAAAATCTGTTTACAGCTTCCAATCAGATCATAAATTCCAGTATCACCACCTCCAGCCTAATAATCACATATTCTAAAAGAGGTATCAGTTAAAGGACTCCCTCCAGCTCCATTAAAAAAAAGTTCCTTATCAGGTGCTATTAACTGCTCCTTATGCTGCTAAGTCACAGGGAGTTGACTCCTGAGCACAAGTATCTCATCTAAAAAAGACACCAAGTCCTGCTGGATTTTGGACAACTATGCCAGTATTTGACATCAAAGTCAAGTTAACCAAACAAAGCCTCACCTTCAGACCCCGGGGAAGATGACAATCAAAATAAATTGCTTTCATGAGACACAGCTCCCGGCCTGTATTCAAAGACATTAAGACTCATTTAAAGGCTGGGCACAGTGGCTTATGCCTGTAATCCCAGCACTTTGGGAGACCAAGGCAGGCAGATCATCTGAGGTCAGGAGTTTAAGACCAGCCTGACCAACATGAGAAACTCCGTGTTTACTAAAAAGTACAAAATTAGCCGGGCGTGGTGGTGCATGCCTATAATCTCGGCTACTTGACAGGCTGAGGCAGGAGAATCCCTTGAACCTGGGAGGCGAAGGTTGCGGTGAGCCAATATTGAGCCATTGCACTCTAGCCTGGGCAAGAGTGAAATTCCATTTCAAAAAAAAAACCAAAAAATTCATTTATTAATTTTGCCTCTACTTCAGTATAATTTGTTCTATTCCTTAATACTAGACAATTTAAGTGTTAGCTACTTGTGAGCTTCCTTTTCCCGTCATTGTCAAAACTAGGCAGGGATTATATTTTTGTTTACAATGTTGCTGATTCTTTGTGTTTTATTTTCTAGAGTCAAAAAATACCCGTTTTTTTCTCCCTTTTCTTTTTTGACATGGAGTCTTGCTCTGTTGCCCAGGCTGGAGTGCAGTGGCACAATCTCGGCTCACTGTAACCTCCACCTCCCTGGTTCAAGCTATTCTCCTGCCTCAGCCTCCCAAATAGCTGGGATTACAGGCGTGTGCCACCACGTCCAGCTAATTTTTGTATTTTTAGTAGAGACAGTGTTTCACCATGTTGCCCAGGCTGGTCTTGAACTCCTGACCTCAAACAATCCTCTCGCCTCTGCCTCCCAAAGTGCTGGGATTATAGGCCACCTCATCCGGCCACCATCTTTTTCTTTTGACATATTTTTAGCAAATAGCTTAAATTAAGTAAATAACGAAGATTACTTTTCTCTCTCTTCCTGATATCGCTAAAATTTAAAATCTTTTCAGTCACACTGGGCCCAATCTGCTTTCGATTGGCAACACACAGCTGCTAACACTATCCAGTGATAAGCATCCCCGTTCTAGGCCCCAGTAGTATGTGAAAGAGATGGGTGTTTGAGATTGTAAGAACCAGTTTAAAGGAGTAATTAGTTCAGACTCTCCAAATCAAGGAAAGCACATAGATGTCTACACAGCTAATAAGCTGAGGGACTTTGCCGTCTGGGCCATTATGTGGCCCTTTTCCCTTCATCTCAACCATAAAGAATTTCCTGCTTCCCACAGACTTAAAAAAAATTACTGAGAGGACATCAGGATACCTGCTGACAGAGCGTCCTGTTTGTTCTCAGTTATGGAGCTTGTACGAATGAAGAATAAAAAATGTATTGGCCACCTTGGGACAAATTACTAGAGAGACCACAAAAAGCATTGCAACAAGTCCAGGCAAGGTGACTCACGCCTGTAATCCCAGCACTTTGGGAGGCCGAGGTGGGCGGATCACGAGGTCAGGAGTTCTAGACCAGCCCTGGCCAACATGGCAAAGCTCTGTCTCTATTAAAAATACAAAAATTAGCCAGGCATGGTAGTGGGCACCTGTAATCCCAGCTACTTGGGAGGCTGAGGCAGGAGAATTGCTTGAACCCAGGAGGCGGAGGTTACAGTGAACCGAGATTGTGCCACTGCACTCCAGCCTGGGCCACAAGAGTGAGACTCTGTCTCAAAAAAAAAAATAAAATAAAATAAGGCCGGGCGTGGTGGCTCATGCCTGTAATCCCAGCACTTTGGGAGGCCAAGGTGGGCGGATCACCAGGTCAGAAGAACAAGACCATACTGGCAAACATGGTGAAACCTCGTCTCTTAAAAAAAAAAAAAAAAAAGGCCGGGCGAGGTGGCTCAAGCCTGTAATCCTAGCACTTTGGGAGGCCAAGGCGGGTGGATCACGAGGTCAAGAGATCGAGACCATCCTGGTCAACATGGTGAAACCCCGTCTCTACCAAAAATACAAAAAATTAGCTAGGCATGGTGGCACGTGCCTGTAATCCCAGCTACTCAGGAGGCTGAGGCAGGAGAACTGCCTGAACCCAGGAGGCGGAGGTTGTGGTGAGCTGAGATTGGGCCATTGCACTCCAGCCTGGGTAACAAGAGCGAAACTCCGTCTCAAAAAAAAAAAAAAAAAAAAAGGCATTGCAACACAAAAGAAAACTCTAAATTACAGAAAGCTTTTTTTTTTTTTTTCTGAGTCTCACTCTGTTGCCCAGGTTGGAGTGCAGTAGCATGATCTCAGCTCACTTCTACCTCCCAGGTTCAAGCAATTCTCCTGTCTCAGCCGCCCGAGTAGCTAAGATTATAGGCGCGCACCACCATGCACAGCTAATTTTTTGTATTTTTAGTAGAGACGGGGTTTCATCATCTTAGCTAGGCTGATCTCCAACTCTTGATCTCAGGTAATCCTCCTGCCTCGGCCTCCCAAAGTGCTGTGATTACAGGCATGAGCCACTGCACCTGGCCTAGAATGCTTCTGTTTATACAGCTAATTACTACGAGTGTATAAATAAGTCCAAGATTACTCAATGCAAACAAACAAACCAACAAAAACTTATACATAAGTCAACTTTTAGCCATGCTTTCAGGCTTTTGGGTTGTGGTTCTTACGTTGCTTAAAAGATCTTAAGGGTTACTGAGTGCCTGCCCACCTCAATTCCTGTCTGGCCTAGAATGTTTAATGGGCTATAAGCCTTTTGGCCAAGAGGATCCCAACAAGGGACATAATGGACGCAGGGCAGGCAATGAGGCCACCCTGCCAATGACGTGGAACACAATCAAAGTTGGCCATCAACGCTGTCTGTATTAGGCCATAGTTGCATTGCTCTAACTACGTGGGCTGGGTGCGGTGGCTCACACCTGTCATCCCAGCACTTTAGGAGGCTGAAGCCAGCAAACGACTTGAGGTCAGGAGTTCGAGACCAGCCTGGACAACAAGGCAAAACCCTGTCCCTACTAAAAATACAAAAATTAGCTGGGCGTGGCGGCACGCACCTATAATCCCAGCTACTCGGGAGGCGGAGGCGAGAGAATTGCTTGCACCTGGGAGTTGGAGGTTGCAGTGAGCCGAGATTACATCACTGCACTCCAGCCTGGACAACAAGAATGAAACTCCATCTAAAAAAAAAAAAGAAAAAAAAAAAGAGAGAGAGGAAGAAATACCTGGCCAGCGCAGTGGTGCATGCCTGTAATCCCAGCACTTTGTGGGGCTGAGGTGGGCGGATCCCAAGGTCAAGGGATCAAGATTAGCCTGGCCAACATGGTGAAACCCCATCTCTATTAAAAATACAAAAACTAGCCAGCTGTGGTGGTTCCTGCCTGTAGTCCCAGCTACTCGGGAGGCTGAGGCAGGAAAATCACTCTAACCTGGGAGGTGGAGGTTGCAGTGAGCCAAGATCACCCCACTGCACTCCAGCCTGGTGACAGAGTGAGATTCCGTCTCAAAAAAAAGAAAAGAAAGAAATATCTAAGACTGGGTAATTTATAAAGAAAAGAGGTTTAATTGGCTCACAGTTCTGCAGGCTGTGCAGGAAGCATAGTGCCAGGCACCTGCTCAGCTTCTGGTGAGGCTTCAGGAGCTGATAATGACAGTGGAGGCAAAGGAAGGGATGCCAATGGATCGCACAGTAAAAGCAGGAGCAAGAGTGGGGCGTGCCACACGCTTTTCAACAAGCAGATTTCATGGGAACTCACTATCATGGGGAAGGACCAAGCCGTGAGGGATCCTCCCCTATAACCCAGACACCTCGCACCAGGCCCTACTTCCAATGGTGGAGATTTCATTTTAACATGAGATTTAGGGAGACAAATATCCAAACTATATCACTGCCAATGGCAGGTTTAGACCAAACAAAGGAAATGAGAATGAAAAATAAAATCCTAGGTTCCCGAATTTACCAACCGCTTCTTAGGCAAGGACACCCCATAGAAACCTTAAAAACTGAGTTCCCGGCCAAGACAATGGCAAGTCAGACACATCTCGTTATGCTATCTCCTTTTTTTTCTTTTTGAGACAGAGGTTCACTCTTGTTGCCCAGGTTGGAATGCTATGACGCAATCTCAGCTCACTGCAACCTCTGCCTCCCAGGTTCGAGAGATTCTCCTGCCTCAGCCTCCTGAGTAGCTGGGTGTAGAGGCATGCACTGCCATGCCCAGCTAATTTTTTGTATTTAGTAGAGACAAGGTTCTACCATGTTGATCAGGCTGGTCTCAAACTCCTGACCTCAGGTGATCCACCCGCCTCAGCCTCCCAAAGTGCTGGGATTACAGTTGTGAGCCCCCGCGCCTGGCCAAGAGGGTATATTTATGTTGTGTTTTTTACCAGCAAAAAAAAAAAAAGAATTCATGTTCTTATGAAACAGGATTTGTTCCCTTGACCTTGATCCCCTTCGTGGGCAGGAACTGGAGTGGCTCATTTACTCTGCCTGCAGTTCCTGGATGGCTACGTGTTAACAGCTCAGGGAAGCATCGGGTGACAGCCTCCTGCACCTGCCCTTTTTGATACTCGAGTTCTTGTTCAGTGACCAGGAAGAATCGGGTCACATGAGCTACTTGAAGGGTTGTGTACGCAGAGGATGGGTAGTGTATGCAGAGGATTTTATTGGGTGACAAAAGTGGCTCTCTGCAGGATGGGGAATTGGAAAGGGGGATGGTACGGGAGGAAGGTGATCTTTCCCTGAAGCCACACCATCTGAAGTTAGCCACATCTATCCGTGGTTGAAGCTCACCCGCATGTGTCCCCAGGCTCAGCAGCTTGTTTCCCTGCTGGTCAGCTGCTTGTGTTGCTTTCTTCCTTTTTGTTCTGCCAGCTGGTCTGGTTTTTATGGGTACAGGTTGGGGGTGGGGAGGGCCAAAAAGGCAATCATTTGGGCAGAAAAACGGGGCCAGCGTTTTCACTTAGGGCCGAGGTTCCAGGTCTGAGGGTGGGGTTTAACTGGGAACCCAGCCGTTCTGTATCACTTAAAAAAAGTGACAAGAGTGCAACCTCTCTCTTTCCCCTCATGCATACAAAGAGACCATGTGAGCACAGAGCAAGATGCAGGGCACACAAGCCAAGAAAAGTGGCCTTAGAATGAAGCCTATGTTGCTGGCACCTTGATCTTGGGATTCCCAGACTCTAGAGTCATGAGCAATAAATTTCTATTGTTTAAGCCCCCTTGGCTGTGGCATTTCTTTATGGCAGTCCAAACTGACTCCTACAGGGACACAGACCCAGACCCCAACACTGGAGAAGAGACAGGATGCAAATCAAACCTCCTCAAGTCGCTGTCAAAGGACAACTATGGGCTGGGCTCGGTGGCTCATGCCTGTAATCCCAGCACTTTGGGAGGCTAAGGCAGAAGGATCTCTTGAGCCCAGGAGTTGAGATCAAGCTGGGCATCATTGCAAGACCCCATCTGTAGAAAAAAAAATTGCAAGGTGCTGTGGTGTGCACCTGTGGTCCCAGCTACTTGGGAAGCTGAGGTGGGAGGATCACTTGATCCCAGAGGTTAAGGGTGCAGTGAGTTGTGATCGCATCACTGTTCACCAGCCTGGTTGACAGAGTGAGACCCTGTCTTTTTTTTTTGAGACAGAATCTCATTCCAGGCTGGAATGCAGTGGCACTGAAGCAGGAGCGGAGGGGAACAAATCTCTCGAACACTGGATGGAGAAAGGAAGTGGCTTTTTATTTGGCCAGGAGCTGTGGGGGGCTATAGCCTCATTCACCGAGCTCCCCAAGCTGCAGCTTCTCTCCCCTTTTATAGGCTTACAACACTAAAGGGGAAACTGAGGTGGAACTATGTTATCGTTCATTTGCTGGACATCCGACCTTCCAATTTTTTGGCTTTATTGATTTGCTAATTTATATGCAGCATGATCGGGGACCGGCAGGGGAGGGGGCTTACAGAGATATGATAAAAACAAGCTGTTTGTTGGTAGAGGTGTTTCCGGGAGGGAGCCTGGCCCATGGAGACATGGGGGTGTGACCCAGTGTCAGGCTCCAGCCGGCAGAGATAGCATTCATTTGCAACTCTTTCAAGGTTAACAGATAGCAGACACTGGGAACCAAAAAGGGAGTCATTTTCCCAACTCTTTGGTATTTTATTTTATTTTTTCCTTCCTCCCCTCCTTCCCATCTGGAAGTGGGGGAGAGAGGAGGTGAAATGGAAGGAGGCAAGGGGGTCTCCCTTTCAGCACGATCTTGGCTCACTGCAACTTCCACCTCCTGAATAGCTAGGATTACAGGCACCCACCATCATGCCTGGCTAATTTTTGTATTTTTAGTAGAGACGGGGTTTCATCATGTTGGCCAGGCTGGTCTCGAACTCCTGACGTCAAAATGATCCACCCACCTCGACCTCCCAAAGTTCGGGGATTACAGACGTGAGTCACCACACCCGGCCAAAACCCTGTCTTAAAAAAGAAAAGGGGAAGCCGGGCGCAGTGGCTCACCAGGTCAAGAGATCAAGACCATCCTGGTCAACATGGTGAAACCCCGTCTCTACTAAAACTACAAAAAATTAGCTGGGCATGGTGGCGCGTGCCTGTAGTCCCAGCTACTCAGGAGGCTGAGGCAGGAGAATTGCCTGAACCCAGGAGGCGGAGGTTGCGGTGAGCCGAGATCGCGCCATTGCACTCCAGCCTGGGTAACAAGAGCGAAACTCCGTCTCAAAAAAAAAAAAAAAAAAAAAAAAAGGGAAAGAAAAAAAAGAAAAAAGCACAACTATGGCAGGGCTGCAAAGGAGGCAGGAGGAGGTGACAGAGCAGAGGGCTGAGGGACAAGAGGAACTGTCTATGCAGAGAGGGACTTGAGAGCCTTCTGGGCATTGAGCACTGTGTGTGAGACCAAGAGGGAACTAGAGGGCCCTGGACCATCCAGACCCCGGTCCTCCACTGGCCTCAAGAGAAGGGGAGTCCCTGTCCGCTTCTTGCTCTGTTCTGGCCACCCCAAACCAAAGACTGCACTGGTCCCCAAGGTGAAGTCTCCCCCTGCCTCTCTGGTTGAGTAAGGAGTGAAGCCAGCTTTGAGCCCGTCCCTTTCCAGCTCCAGCCGTGACAGACCCCAGATCTGGTGGAAGGGGGCTGGCCACACTGGGATCTCTGGGTGGGGCCGTCTGGGCAGGCCTGGGGTCTGAGATGGGATTTCTGGACCTAACAATGGAGCTCAGGAGCTCCAGCAAGTTGTGCTCTGCAGGGAGCCCAGGTCAGGTTCAGAGAGGAGCTGCCAGGGATCCTGCAACACCCGCCCCACCACTGCTCTCCTCCAGCCCCCAGTTCTAGCACCTTGGTCCAAGAGAGACTTCCTTTGAGAAACCCAGTGGCCCTCCCTTTTCTGCCACCTCTAAAGCTCTGCTCAAAGCATCTTTGTTTGAGGCTGGTCCTGTAAAGCCACAGCCCCGCCTTGGTCCTGTTAATTACTCCCTGGCTAAGCCTTGCTCTCTCCTGGACCTTTAAGACCCTAAGCCCCTCCCCCAACTCCAGTCAGCAGGGAGGGCACCAGGCTGTGAGGGTGAGAGCAGGCCAGGGGCTGTGGGGGCAGGCAGGGGCAGCAGGTGGGTATTGATGCGGGAGGGGAGTTAGGATGGGAGAGGGGGAGGATGGGGAGAGGGTGAAAATGGGGGAGGGGGAGAATGAGGGAGGGGGTGGGCTGGAGGAGGGGAGTGAGGATGGGGGAGGGGTAAGGATGAAGGAGGGGTGAGGATGAGGGAGGAGGTGAGGATGGCGAAGGGGTGAGGATGGGGGAAGGGGGAGGATGGGAGGGGGTGAGGATGGAAGGGGGTGAAGCTAGAAGGGGGTGAGGATGGGAAGAGGTAAGGATGGATGGGGGTGAGGATGGAAGAGGGTGAGGAAGAGGGAAGGGGTGAGGATAAAGGAGGAGGATGAAGATGGGGGAGGGGGTGAGGATGAGGGAGGGGGTTAGGCTCTAGGGCTTCTGTTGAGGCCAAGGATGCCCAAATTTCTGGTGGTGAGTGTTGCATACTTGGCCAGAGGTGGTCACCTGGGGCCTGGGCAGAAAGAAGGGTATAAAGCCTGGACCACCAGGATAAGTCCAAGACCCACCAGGAGGTGAAGGACCACAGAGCGGGTGAGGAGGTGGGGTGGGGATTGATGCCCCTGGGCCAGGACGCTCCTCTCTTCTCCCTGCTGGCTCCAGACCAGCGTCCATGTCCTGGGCAGTGCCACCCTTACCTAGCCCAGCTCTGAAGACAAAATGAGGGTGGCTTCCTGTCTCCAGGTCCTGCTCCTTTTGGTGCCGGGTGAGTGGAGACAGGGACTGGGGGTGAGGGTGAGGGCTGCAGACACCTTGGGTCCCAGGCCTACCATCTCGCCACTCTCTGGGCTGGGCTCCCTGAAGCACTCTTGGGCTTTCTAATCTCCATTCCAAGGGCTCAGTCCTCTCTGCCACTGACGTTGGCCTCCCCACACCTCTAAGTGCTTGTCGATGTCCTGGTAGCATGTCCTGACCCCTTGCACCTTCACAGTGCTTTGGGGAGGGTTAAATAAAGTAACAGATGGCATGAAAGCTGGGCACAAGGTCAGGGCAATGTATATGTTTCACCCCCCTTCCTAATCTCTGGCCTCCCCTCCAATCCCGTTGACACTAAATCCATAACCTGGTCCCTTCCCTGCTTCCTCCTCCAGGATCTGCTGGGACTCCGGGAAGGAAGTCTGCAGGTGAGGAAGCCTCGGAGTCCACCCGAGTCAGCCTTCCTGGACCTCGGCCCATGCTTCCCTGCCCACACCTGCCTCCCAGGCCCCGGTCCTCGGCCAACTCTCGCCACCCCTGGTCCTTTTTGCAGCCTGCGGGCAGCCCCGCGTGTCCAGTCGGATCGTGGGGGGCCGGGATGCCCAGGATGGAGAGTGGCCGTGGCAGGCGAGCATCCAGCATCGTGGGGCACATGTGTGCGGGGGGTCGCTCATCGCGCCCCAGTGGGTGCTGACAGCGGCGCACTGCTTCCTCAGGTCAGCGCTCACCGACAGCCCAGGCGGGGTGTGTAAGGAAGGCAAGGCCCTCGGAGGGCAGGGCGTGGCCTGGCAGAAGCCCTGGGCTCGATGCGGGCTGGTAGAGGTCGAGGACCCAGTGCTGGAAGTAGCCCCCCACTCCTGTCCTGCAGGAGGGCACTGCCAGCTGAGTACCGCGTGCGCCTAGGAGCGCTGCGTCTGGGGCCCACCTCGCCCCGCACGCTCTCAGTACCTGTTCGACGGGTGCTGCTGCCCCCGGACTACTCTGAGGATGGGGCCCGCGGCGACCTGGCACTGCTGCAGCTGTGTCGTCCAGTGCCCCTGAGCACCCGCGTCCAGCCCGTCTGCCTGCCCATTCCCAGCGCCCGCCTGCTGCCTGGCACAATGTGCTGGGTCACAGGCTGGGGCAGCCTCCACCCAGGAGGTAAGGCAGGACAGTGGGGCATGGAGGCATCAAGGAGCCCCCACCTCCTCCTCCATCTGACTGGAAATCCCAGCCCCTCGCTGCCCCAATCCAGGACCCAGCGCAGCTTCTAGGAACCCAACCCTCCTCACTCAGAGCTCAGCTTCTCCTGCTGACCCCTGCTCCATGCCTTCCTCTCAGAGGTTCCTCCTCTTTCTCCAGTGCCCCTCCCAGAGTGGCGACCGCTGCAGAAAGTAAGGGTGCCACTGCTGGACTCTCGCACCTGCGACCGCCTCTACCACGTGGGCGCTGACATGTCCCGGGCCGAGCGCATTGTGCTGCCTGGGAGCCTGTGTGCCGGCTACCCCCAGGGCCACAAGGACGCCTGCCAGGTGGCACCCTGCCTCCCTAGCCTCCAGACTCCCATCCCTGTGCTTAGCACCCTACCTCCCTAAAATCCAGGACCCAGGATATACCAACTCAGGCTCAAGGTTGTGGCCCCCAACCCAGAGGCACCACCCTAGGGGTTTGGAGCCCGGAGAACAACTCTGAAGTCACGGGAGGACTGGGATCTAAGTGCCTCTTTCTCCTGCAGGGTGATTCTGGAGGACCTCTGACCTGCCTGCAGGCTGGGAGCTGGGTCCTGGTAGGCGTGGTGAGCTGGGGCAAGGGTTGTGCCCTGCCCAACCGTCCAGGTGTCTACACCAACGTGGCCACATACAGCCCCTGGATTCGGGCTCATGTAAGCATCTAATGCTGGCCCGTGAGGCTGACCTGGAGCCAGCTGCTGGGGTCCCTCAGCCTCCTCGTTCATCGGAGACCCTCCCATACCCCAGATCCCTTCTGCCTTGAGGCCAAGATGCCTAATAAAGCTAAAGGCCACCCCACTCCCCTGCCCACCACCTCCTGCTTCCTCTCCTTTTTGGGGCTCATCAGATCTGACTCCACCAACCCTCATCCAGGGATCTGCCATGCGTCCCAGGGGTCACACTTCTTGCTCCCTTCCTGGCTTGTATTTAGTTTTCTCAGCCCTAGCCAGGGCTGGGAGCAAGGCACGCAGCAGTGGGCAAACCAGTTGCTACCCATCTGGCCGGTGTGCCCATCTTTTTCTGGAGAAAGTCAGATTGACAGCATGACAGAGATTTGACACCAGGGAGATGCTCCACAGCTGGCTTTGAAGACAGGGGACCACATCCTGTGAGCAGCCTCTAGGAGCTGAGAGCAGCCCCTGCCAATAGCCGGCAGGGAATTGGAGCCCTCAGCCGCAAGGCACTGGATTCTGGCAGCACCCCAAAGGAGTTGGGAAGTGAGTTCTTCCCCAGCCTCCAGATAAGAGCCCCGCCGGCCAATCCCTTCATTTCAACCTAATGAGACCCTTGGCAGATAACCTAGCTGAGCCACCCGGACTCCTGACCTACAAAATAAAGACGTGTTTTAAGCTGCTCCATTTGTGCTGATTTATTATACGGCAATAAAAACTAATATAGATTTTGCCCCACTGTGATGGAGGTGTCTCAGTGGAAAGGTGGGCTGGCCAGTGTGGTCACCTCCCCACGTAATCCAAGACGCTGGGCACTTGGCATCACACCCTCAGCCCAGGAGGGGTCAGGAGCCCCCAGGCAGGGCCAGATTCTGTTCTCATTGTGTCTGGCCACCATGCACTCCCAGGGTGGGCCTGGAGCCCCGGCCAACCCACACACACCTATACCTGAACACCAACAGCTACCCAAATGCAGGTCCTTGCTGACCATTGAGGTCCCCTTCCAGCCTGGTATCTGGCATCCTGTCCTCTCTCTGCCAGGTCCTTGTCCCCAGAGCCAGGAACGCCCATTTCAATAGATTGAGGTCAGTTTCCACAGCTACAGAAGGAAAAAGAAACTGAACAAAACCTGGAAAATTCCAAGTCTATTCTGGAGCTGACAGGGACAGTCGGCAGAAGGGAAGAGAAGACAGGGGAAGGCCAACTTCAAAGGTGCAGCCCCTTGAGGCCCAAGCACAGGCCTGAGCCTCGCCTCCCTCCCCTTTTCTCCTGGGGAGCCAGGGAAATGGGTTATACTAGATAGCAAAGCTGGGCCAGGCCAGGTGGGGCAGGGAGGGTGCTGAAGGCTGCTCGGTCCCCTAGGTAGAGAACAGGCTATGCTGCAGCAGAGCCTGGCCACTGTTGGTGGGGTCATCAGGGACCAGGTGCGCAGGACAACAGGGTATGACTATGGCAGGACAGCCTACAAAAGACTGCAGGCCCAACTAAGGAGGCAGGGGAACTGGCGCTGGGCAGGGGAGGGAGGATCATCAACGAGAAGAAATCATGACCCTTCATCAAGCCCTCACCAGACACGTGCAGAAGGAGGGCTTTATTACATCAGCTCATTAAATTCCCACAAGAGGCTCTGTGAGGTGGTTTGTCCCCATTTGTCAGATGAGAAAATCAAGTCCCAAAAGTCACAGTGCCGGTAAGCTTGGTAGACTGGGACTCCAGTCCAGGCAGTCTGATTCCGGGAGAGGAAGAGGTGCTCTGCTCTCTCCACTTCCTCCCACTCCAACAGGGCAGTCTCCCTGCACCCCTCCACTCGGCCTGTTCCTGGCATGGTAGCCTGTGGTGCCAGTCGAGTGGCAGCTCTTCTCAGCCCCATGCAACTGACCCCACAGGATGGGGCCTGTTTCCCTCTCTGTAATCTGAACTGATAACATGGGCTGCATTCTCAGGGATGTGTGGACACTTTTCGGGCCTGCTGGGAGATGTCCTGTATGGCCATATTTCGTAATTGGAGGTCACCTTAGGATGTGGTTATTTTAGGCCAGGTGTGGTGGCTACTTTGGGAGGTTGAGGCAGGAGGATTGCTGGAGCTCAGTTCGAGACCAACTTGGGCAACATGGGGAAAGCCCATCTCTACAAAAACTCTAAAAATTAGCTAGATGTGCTGATGCATGCCTGTAGTCCCAGCTTCTCGTGGGACTGAGGAGAGAGGATTATTTGAGCCCAGGAGGCGGAGGCTGCAGTGAGCCAGTATCAGGCTATTGCACTCCAATCTGGGTGAGAGTGAGACCCTGTCTCCAAAAAAAAGAATGTGGCTATTTTCAAACAGCATGAACCTTATAGGTGCCTTGTGAGTGCCTAGGTACACATTTTAAGATAGAGTTGCTCTGGTTGTTTTATTAAACCAGAGGCCTGGTAAGCAGAGGTTCCTAAAACTCTCAAACCAAAATCACGATCATCAACACAGAAGACTTCTGTGACCAACTGTGGTGGCAGTTTTCCCCACACACACTAAGCACTGGACACCACCGGGGTGTCCTCTGATTCAATTCCAAATCTGCCCAGAGCCAGCGTCAGGTCCCACAGGCGGGGCTCAGACGACTGCCTCCCCATCCCCTAGTCACAAATTTAGGCTCTGGAACTTCTGACCAACTGGCTTCAGATTGGCATTCCCTTGACTCTCCTCTTAGGGTTCAATTAATTTGTTGGAGTGACTCACAGAACTCGGGGAAACACGCTCACTGGTTTATCATAAAGGATGTTACAAACGATATGGATGAAGGGATGTGTAGGGCGAGGTGTTGGGGAGAGGCACGGAGCCCCCATTCCTCCCTGCCGTGTCACCCTACGGGAACCCACAGGAGTGGAGCTATCCAGAAACTCTCTAAACCCTGTCCCATAGAGCTTTTATGTAAGCTTCAGGACGACAGCATTCCTTTTCCCAGGAAGAGGGCAGGACCCTTTCTGGGGAGAGTCTTAAGACTTCCAATCAGAAAGGCCCACAGAAGATCAGCGTCCTGCCTTGGGCAAGTGAAAGGAGGGCTAAAGAGAGACCGTTCCCCAAGGTCTAACACACCCTAAAGACACTAGGGCCTTCTCCATCATAACACCACATGCGGTCTGGGATGGGATGTGAAGGGGATAAAAGGTAGACAGGAGAGAGCAGAAGACAGACTGCAAGGCAGTCTCTGACTGAAGTCTGAGAGGTAGGGAGGTGAAGGCCAGTAAGGAAAGGATTCCAGGAGGACCTTCCCGTGCAGAGAAACAGGTGCAGCTGGCCAGTTTCTCCCCACCACTGGACACTCCCATTCCTTGTTAAGGCCCTTAAGGAGAACCTGGACCCCACAAGACCACATTTCCAAAAGTAACTGGAGACCCCAGGCTAGGCCAGCAATTGGCCCTGCTCCCCAAAAATCCCTCCTGACCCCATTCCTACCGCAAGAGGTACCACTGCACTGAACGACTGGATGGCCTGTCATCTCCTCGTGTAGTTAACCCACAGCGGGGACAGTGCTGTGGTGTGTGGAGACCACCTCTGGGGGCAAGGACTTGTGTTGTGCTGGGTCCAGGTGACCTCTGACAGCAGACAGGCACCATTCACCGCAGCAGCTGGGGAACTGTGACTGCTCACCCAGCATCAGCGTATGCCTGCGATGGTTGCTGTATGCATGGGCTGATGTGCAGGCATACTCCCTAACGTCCCAAGGGCTCCACACTGTGTATCCTCGTTTGATGGGAACACCAGGTGTAGGCCCCAGGCCTTGCCGGTAGGAGCTGGGGTTTGAACCCAGGTGATCTGCTCTCTGGGGGACAGGCCCTATGGTTGGTGGACATCCTGAGGTGGGGCATCAGCTGTGACTGCCACCCACAGGCAAGGTGTCCATGCCCTGGTCTGTGCCAATGACGCCTGGACGGAGTAGGGATCCAGGCGTCTCCCTGTGGAGACGGCCACTCCTGTACCTACACCCCTTGACTTCTGGGTGGGCTGCTAGGCTGCAGAGAACTTCCTGGCCCTCACCGTCCATACCTTCCCTTCGCTCTCCCGCCTCACAAGCACAGGATTTCAAGTTGCCAGTTCTAGGTACATAAAGACGCTGGGATTATTTAATTGGAGACAGTCTCACTCTGTTGTCCAGGCTGGTGTATAGTTCCAAGATCTCAGCTCACTGCAACCTGCACCTCCAGGTTCAAGCAATCCTCCTGCCTCAGCCTCCCAAGTACCTGCGAGCACAGGCATGCATCACCACACCCAGCTAATTTTTTTTTTTTTGTATTTTTAGTGGAGACAGGGTTTCACCTTGCTGGCCAAGCTAGTCTTGAACTTCTGGGCTAAAGTGATCCACCCACCTCAGCCTCCCAAAGTGCTGGGATTACAGAGGTGAGCCACCTCCCCCAGCCAGACACTGAGATTAAGAAGGAAATCTTTTCAGTCTAGCCTAGAGCTCTTACCAACAATCACCTGTCCAACGCCTCATGACTCAAGTCATGGAGCAAAGGCAGGTTCTGCAGGGTCTGGGATGCTGAGGACCCTGGGAGCAGGAATATGGGCTGCAGTGAAATGCAGTGAGGGCAGTCACACTAGGGAAGGGACTTCGGACGACTCCCGAGGGAGGAGCCACAAAAGTAACAACTAGAATTACAGTTTAGAAAACATCCATGCAGCGCCAATACTTGCCGAAGTTCTACACAGTTCACAAACTGTTTCTCTCCTATCTAGAAGAGGAGGAAACCGGGCTTTGTTGAGGCTAACGGCCCATGGCCGCAGTCAGCAGCGGGGCCCAGGGCTGCTCCTTAGCCACTCTAGATGCCCAGGCAGCAGCGGCACTTCCACGTTCCGCCCACTCTCATCAGCCCTCAAAGGGCAGCTCCGAGGACTGCAGCGCGGTGGGGTCCAAGGCCACCCTCTGGTTCTTCTCTCGAACACCACCTCCGACACCCGCCCAGCAACGACCCAGCTTCTGGTGTCTCTCCGCAGGGGAGTGGTCAACTGGGGGGCGGGCCCTCGCTCTCGTGTAAATGCAACTTGGGGCGATGCAGGACAGTATCCAGCACCTAAGCAAGGGCGCCTGGAAGGAGCGGCCAGCCAGGAAAATCAAGTCTCCAGGCCTTTTCAGAGACGAAATGCAGCCAGGCGGGAAGGCCGACTGGCGCCCCGGGCTCCTGGTGCGAGAGGCTGCCCCTTACCTCCTGAGGAGAGCGGTCACCAACCCTTCCCGTGCCTCCTCTTTTAATCGAGGGAGTTCGCCCCTAAGTCCAACAGCAACCCCAAGGGCTCCTCACAGGTCATAAGCCTCTCTGAGCCGCGACCTTCCTAGCATCCAGCCCAATGCAAGGAACGGGGCGACTGTCCCCACCACGGCGGCCAGAGAGGGCCCAAAATGGAGAGCCTGCCCAAGATGGGTCCCACGAATGCCCCGCGACAAGGAAGCCCCGGGCTCGCTCTGACCACGCCTGGGGCCCACGGGACCGCACCACACCACGGAGAAAACCTCGCCCCCGCCACGCCCGAGACGGCGCCACCGCCTCCTACAACCAACCTCAGCGCCGAGATGGCGGCCGCACGCCCCTCGGCACGGCCCGCTTCCGGATCACTTAAAATGGCGGCGGCACAAGTCGGGGCAGCACAAGGCGGGGCTGCGCCAGGGAAGGCGGGACGGCGCGGGGCATGCCGGGCCGCGCGCGGGCTGCC